TGCTTGTGCTCACTCTTTCTCTGTCAGTAAATAAAATCTTAAAAAAAAATTCATGAAAGAAATTGAAGAGACCAAGAAATAGAAAGACATTCCATGCTCATGGATCAGAGGAACAAATATTGTTAAAATGTATGTACTACCCAAAGCAATCTACACATTTAATGCAATCTCTATCAAAATACCAACAGCATTTTTCACAGAGCTAGAACAAACCTAAAATTTGTATGGAACCACAAAAGACACCAAAGAGCCAAAGTAATCCTGGAAAAGAAAAGCAAGCTGGAGGCTTCACAATTCTAGATTTGCAGTTATATTACAAAGCTGTAGTGATCAAAACAGCATGGTACTGGCACAAAAATGGACACATAGATCAATAGAACAAAATAGAAAATCCAGAAATAAACCCACAATTATATGGTCAATTAATCTTTGACAAAGGAGGAATGAAATATCCAATATCCAATATCCAATGAGAAAAAGACAGTCTCTTCAATAAATGGTGTTGGGAAAACTGGACAGCAACATGCAAAAAAATGAAGCTAGATCACTTTCTTACACCATACACAAAAATCAGTTCAAAATAGATTAAAGACCTAAATATGAGACCTGAAACCATAAAAATCTTAGAAGAGAACATAGGGAGTAATTTCTCTGACATTGGCCATAGCAACTTTTTTCTAGATATGTCTTCTGAGGCAAGGGAAACAAAAGCATAAATGAACTATTGGGACTACATCAAAATAAAAATCTGCACAGTGAAGGAAATAATCAACAAAACTAAAAGGCAACTTATGGAATGGGAGAAGATATTTGCAAATGACATATCCAACAAAGCATTAGTATTCAAAATATATAAAGAAGTTATATAACTTAATACCCAAAAACCAGATAATCCAATTTAAAAATAGGCAGAAGACACGAACAGACATTTCTCCAATGAAGACATACAGATGGCCAACAGACACATGAAAGGATGCTCATCATGACTTAGCATCAGGGAAATACAAATCAAAACTACGATGAGCTATCACCTCACACCTGTCAGAATGGCTAAAATCAACACAAGAAACAACAGGTGTTGGCAAGGATGTGGAGAAAAAGGAACCCTCTTATAATGATGGTGGGGATGCAAACAGTGCAGCCACTGTGGGTGGCTCAAAAAATATAGAGGTTCCTCAGAAACTTAAAAATAGAACTACCCTAAGATCCAGCAATCACACTACTGGGTATTTACTCAAGGAATATAAAAACACTAATTGAAAGGGACACATGCTTCCCCATGTTTATAGCATTATTTACAAGAGCCAAGATATGGAAGCAGCCCATGCCCATCGACTGACGAATGGATAAAAATGTGGTATATATATATACAATGGAATATTATTCAGCCATAAAAAAGAATGAAATCTTGCCATTTGCAATGACATGGATGGATCTAGACAGTATAATGCTAAGTCAGAGCAAGATAAATACCATATGATTTCACATGTGCAATTTAAGAAACAAATGAGTAAAGGGGAAAAAAAAGGGGGAAAGAGACAAATCAAGAAAAACTCTTAACTCTAGAGAACAAACTGATGGTTACCGGAGGGGAGGTGGGTGGGGGGTGGGTGAAATAGGTGATAGGGATTCAGGAGTGCTTGTCTCATGATAAGCACCAGGTGATTAAAATAAAAACTTAATAAAATAAAAATTGGAGTATTTATTTTTTATTGTGGAGTTGTAAGAATTCATTATATATTCTGAATACCAGACCTTTATCACATATATGATGTGCAAATATTTTCTCCCATTCTGTGGATTGTTTTCAATTATAACAACTTTATTGAGACATAAACATGCCATACAATTCACCATTAAAGTGTAAAATTTAATTATTTTTAGTATATTCAGAGTTGAACAACCATCACCCTCATTTCCTTGATAGTGTCCTTTGAAGTACAAAAGTTATTAATTTTGATGAAATCCAATTTATCAATCTTTCCTTTTCTTGCTTATGTTTTTGGTGTCATTCATATTTAAGAAACCAATACCTAACCCAAGACCATCAAGATTTACTTCAGCATTTTCTTCTAAGACTTTCCTAGTTTTAGCTCTTACATTTAGGTCTATGATCCCTTTTGAGTTAAATTTTGAAATCAGAATGTGTTAGTCTTCCAGCTTTGTTCTTTTGCAAGATTGTTTTGCTTATCTGGATCTCTTACATTTTCATATGAATCTTAAGAAACTTAAAAGTGGGGCGCCTGGGTGGCTCAGTTGGTTAAGCAACTGCCTTCGACTCAGGTCATGATCCTAGAGTCCTGGGATCGCGTCCCGCATCGGACTCCCTGCTCAGCGGGGAGTCTGCTTCTCCCTCTGATCCTCCCCCTCTCATGCTCTCTGTCTCCCATTCTCTCTCTCAGATAAATAAATAAAAAATCTTAAAAAAAAAAAAAAGAAACTTAAAAGCAAGAAACATAGAGAAAGAAATTTCTGAATCATAGTCTAAGGTGGCTGCATCATTTTTATTCCCCACCCCCCGCCAGCAGTGAATAAGAGTTCCTTTGCTCTGCAACCTAACCAGCATTTGGTATTGTCAGTTCTTTGGATTTTAGCCATGTTAATAGGTGTGTAGTGTTATCTCATAACTTTCTAAATTTGCCTTCCCTAATAATTGTGAACATCTCTTCATATGCTTATTTGCCATGTGTATATTTTCTTTGGTAAGGTGTCTTCTTATGTAAGTTTTGTTTTGTTTTGTTTGTTTTTTAAGATTTTATTTACTTGGGGCACCTGGATGACTCAGTCGGTTAAGCGTCTGCCTTCGGCTCAGGTCATAATCCCAGAGTCCTGGGATCAAGCCCTGCATCGGGCTCCCTGCTCCGCAGGAAGCCTGCTTCCCCCTCTCCCTCTGCCTGCCGCTCTGCCTGCTTGTGCTATTTATTAAGTAAATAAAATTTACTTATTTGACAGAGAGAGACACAGCAAGAGAGGGAACACAAGCAAGGGGAGTGAGAGAGGGAGAAGCAGGCTTCCCACTGAGCAGGGAGCCCCGCATGGGGCTCGATCTCAGGACATTGGGATCATGACCTGAGCCAAAGGCAGACGCTTAACAACTGAGCCACCCAGGCGCCCCTTATGTAAGATTTTTGCCCATTTTTTCATTGGATTGTTTTCTTATTGTTGATTTTTAAGAGTTCATGTATATTTTGCATTAAAGTCCTCTATCAGATATGAGTTTTGCAGGTATTTTCTCCCAGTTGGGAGCTTGCCTTTTCATTCACTTAATTGCCAAATATTTAAAAAAACAAAAAACAAAAAAATTCTTTGGTAAGCTTTAACAATGCACCTGCTTAAAAAACATCAAAGGGTACCCATTTAAGTTTGTTGCTTTGTAAATTACTAAAGGGACTCTCTCTGGAAAGATCTAGAGCCAAGTAAAGATGTGTATTTGGATTTCAGCCCCCATCCATCCCCTTGACTGGTGCCCTTGTGCAAGCCACAAACTGCGTAATCACATTGTAACAACCCCATTGATCTTAAGTGTATCCTTAATACACTTACAGAACCTTCCATGATAGGCTCTTGCCTATTCTCTTGCCACATGTCATCCTTCTATCCTTTCTCTCTATACCCACAAAAGCCTTATCGCAACAACTTGAAAAGGCTTTGCTTCCAGCCTCAAGATTTTCATAGCCATTGTGGCAGGCTGACTTCTAACATGGCCCCCAGTGATCCTCACCTCTTGGTATTCATGACCCTGTATGGTCTCCTCCCATTGAGAGTAGGCTGAACCTTGTGACTTGCTTCTAAAGAACAGAATACAGCAAACTGATGGAATGGCAGTTCCAATAGTAGGTAAATTACTAACTTCTATCTTGCACACTTTCTCTTCCCTTCTTACTTGTTCACTCTGACGAAGCCTACTGATTTATTGTAAGCTACTGAGGCACAGACTCGTATAGCAGGGAACAGAAGGAGACTTTGGGCCAATAGCTTCTGAGGGGCTGCAGCCTCAGTCCAATAGTCTATGAGGAATTTAATCCTGCCAACAACCACCTGAGTCATTTTGAAAGCATATCAAACCCCAGTTGAGCCTTCAGATGACTTCAGCCCTGGTTGACACATTGGTTGAAACCTTTATGAGAGACAGGAGTCAGAAGATTCAAGCTAAGCTGCATGCCAATGCCTGACCCACAGAAACTGTGAGATAATAAATGTTACTGTTTTGGGGTAATTTGTTTCACAGCAGTAGATTAATACGGTTAGGAGCATTCCCCTCCTCACTTTCTACCACTCTAATCCCATGTGTCTTCAAGTCTCAGATTTATTTATTTACTTACTTATTATTTTTTAAGTAGGCTCCATGCTGGGCATGGATGCAGAGATTGAACTCACAACCCTGAGATCAAGACCTGAGCCGAAATCAAGTTGGATGCTTAACCAACTGAGCCACCCAGGCTCAGTTGGTTATTCTTTTTTAAGATTTTATTTTATTTTTTTTAAGATTTTATTTTAAGATTTTATTTTTTAAAGTAATCACTACAACCAACGTGGGGCTTGAACTCACAACCCTGAGATCAAGAGTCGCAGGCTACACCGACTGAGCCAGCCAGGCGCCCCTCAAGTCTCAGATTTAAATTTCACTTCCTCAGGGGTGAACTCTCTTCCCCCTGCCCATCCTGCACACCCCAGCAAGTCTCTGGTTCCACACTCTTGGCATTCTCTCCTTCTCTTATGCATTCATCACTACTGCAATTAGTTCATTATCATGGTATTTGCTTCCCATCTGTTACTCCCTAAGACTTGTCAGTTCCAAGTCAGAGTTGGCTGTATTTTTTCTACACTGAATTCCTAGCACCAAACTTGGTGCCCAGCACACAGTGGGGATATACTAATTATAGAATGAAAAAATGAATAAACAAATGAAGGAATTAGTAAATGAAGTATCCCAAAGCCTCGCCATTCAGAAAGGAGGTAGAGAAAAGCCCAGTGCCCTAGTAAAGATAGTTATAAAAGTCTCTTAATTCTCAGGCTTTATTTTAAAATATCAAAAAATAAAAACAAAAACAAAAAATAAAACCATGTCAACATATTTTAGATAGAAATTTGTTATGACAGAGTACATTATAACCAAATTCTCTACATAAATTAAAAGTCCAACAAAGGTTAGCTCATAGTACATGATTTTGATAAAAACTTTGCAGTTTTTTTTTTTTTTTTTTTTTTTTTTAAGATTGTATTTACTTATTTGAGAGAGAGACAGACAGAGAGAACACGAGCAGGGGGAGCAGCAGACAGAGAGAGAAGCAGACCCCCTGCAGAGCAGGGAGCCCTACATGGGATTTGACCCCAGGACCCCAGGATCATGACCTGAACCGTAGATAGCTGCTTAACCAACTGAGCCATCCAGGCGCCTCTCCTTAGTGATTCTTAATCATCACCTCCTGCCAAGTAACATCCAACTCACTCCATAGCTGGAAATTCAGCTGTCCTTTCCAGCCTGCTCCTCGACTGCTCCCTTCGCAGGCATCATGCTCTTGCCTTTCCTCGGTCACAGGGCATATTTTTCCATCTCTGGGCCTTTGCACACATTCTTCCTCTGACTGGAAGTCCCCCTTTAGTGCCAACTGATCCCCCCAAAGCCAAATTCAAGTCCAAACGCTCCTGGTCCCCCTAGAAGTGATTGCTCTTCTGCTCTGTCCTCTTAGGGGCCTTGGTTTTTACCTCTTTTATGGCCTCTAACACATTCAATATTGTCTTGTGAGCAGGTGTGTATTTTGTTTATCTTCTCTACTACCCACATCTGAGGATATGGTCTCTGTCCTGATGAACCCTTTTCCCTACATAACCCAGCGCACGGATTTGGATGGATCAGAGGCTTAATACATGTTTGTCGTTGAATGGGTAAATGAAAGAATGAATGAAACATATATGCTAAAAGGCTTTTAAATGAATCAGATATACCTTATATCTCAATGCCAATAATAATAATATAGCCATAGAAAAATATTTCATTTTAAAAACATTTTAATTTCCCTTTTTATAAAATTTAGTTTTCAAAAGTCCCAAACATACTCTCTCATATAGTAAAAATGAACTTAGGAACAATTACACAGGATGTTTTTTCACTAGTCCATTGAACACTGGCTAAATGTCCTAATATCTTACCCTAAATAGTCACAGAGAAGCCAAGGAAGTAAATAAATAACACAGCAAACTAGTAAATACAGGAAAATGAGTTTTTCAAAAGCTTTCTGGGATTCTTTAATTGTCTACTGTTGAACTTTTAACATAATAATTTGAACTTAAAAAGTTTAATAATAATAAATATTAGTCCTATATAAAGTGATTAAGTCAAAGTAGTTTACTTCAAATACAGGGACTTAATTACAGAAATGGAATGTACCCGATTATTTAGAGAATGTTGTTTGAGAGGACAGTGTTCTCATGACTAAGTTCAGTGTATCCTGGATCTTCATGTTATTTCTTTCTATCAGGGAAGAATGTCTCCCATCCGGTTTCGTGTTTTCTTCTGGTTCAAGGGGCAGAAGGGTATGGGGGTTGAAGAGACATCGAGGCTCCCCCAAGATGCCAACTCTGTGAAAAGGATTATTGGTAGAGCTGAAGCAGTGAGGCCAAAGAATAAGGTGTATGGTTGTGGCTGTGCTTGCATGTGTGTGTGTATACACCAAAGCTACACACATACACACACACACACACCCCTATATATATATATTTTTTTTTCTTTTAAGTTTTCCCTGTTTCCATGAACCCCCACTGTGGTCTTAAGTGTGGGTCCAAAAACTCAGCCCCCAGTAAGATTTTGTAACTGGCCTTCCCACATTTCCCAGATGGAGAAACTTCAGCCTTATAAAGTTGGTTACTCCCTCCTCCAAAGTAGAGCTATTTGAAGTCCAGCATAACTTTCTAGCAATGTTTTCTAGTCTAGCCAGGTATACCAAGAGCTGCTTGGGAAAGGAAACAGGTGGAGTGGAGGAGGGTGGGTAAGAAGGCGGCTTTCATCTTTGTTCAACTTTCTGGACAAGGCACGGTGTCTGAGCCCCTGCCCCTCCTGGCCCAACCTAGGACATGACCCGAGGCTCTCTTTTCTCTCTCCTTGGGCCACTTACGTGGGCATGGGCACAGAGCCCAGACTGTCCATGTGCTCTTGCATCGGGGCTGGGAGTCTGATGCCTCCTTGATGATTCTTTTTCTCAAAGACATTCTGAGCTTTTTCTCTGAGAGATGGCAGCAGAGTAGACATGACTGGAGAGCGCATGTTGATGGCTTTTTTAATCGCTGGGCGTTCTGCCATCATTCTCCTGGGGTGGGGAGGGGTGACATTTAGGTTACATCATCCTGTTTTCTAGAAATGTCCCTGAGCTTTGGAAAGTCAAAAGATCATACCTAAATTGTACAAAAGTCATGCGTTTCTTTTCCCCTCCTGATTCTTCATCCTCGCGCTTCCTCCGAGGAATGTTGAACATATTGGTACGAAAGAGCCTCCCTATTTCTTCCTCAATCTCTGTGAAGTGTTGACGTCGGAAGACAATCCAAGCTACATATGTACAGAAAGTATAAAAGGACTACAACGGAAAACAGACAAGAATCATGACCACGGCTATGACAGTAAAAACTCCCACCTGTCTATATAACGCTGCTAATCAGACACAAACCCAGATGACCCCATTTCTCCACATTCCTGAAAAGCTGTGGAAAATTACACACGTACTCACCTTTGCAGGAGGAAAATAAGACCAAAAATTTAAGGTATAGCATACAGCTTGTTAGCATCCTTTTAAGAAAAGATATTCACTAAAAATAAGTGCCTGACAAATGGCTATTGGTTATTGGTGTACTTCATGTTTCATACGAAAGAGAAAAGCCCCAAAGACTCACCTCAAAGAATTTCCAGTCTTTCTGTGTATCTGATATTTTCTCCCTGCAACATAACAAATCACAACTATAGATTGAGAGGGAAGTTCAATCTTTCAGTGATCTAGGCAAGCCCCTATCTTCAAAGGCCTCTTGGCAGGATCATTACCTGTGGCCCGAAGGCTATTTAGCTACGTAAATGCTGTCAAAAGGCATTGATGAGCCCTGATATCTTTTTCTTCAACTTCTCAGGTTATCCAGATCAAAACCCCTACTAGAGTGTTTGGTCAAAAGTTAATCAATATAAATTCAGGATACACAAGCCAGCAGGAACTGTATTCTTATGAATGTTTTTGGTGATGTGAGGGTTGAGGAGGAAGGAGAGTGGAAAGGTGGTAAAGAGGTAACATGGCATGTTAACAGGTAGGGAAACAGGAAATTAAGGGGAAGTCTACAATGGAGAAAAAGACAAAGAATAAACATCTTAAAAATCTTAGAAAGATTAAAAAAAAATCTTTAAATAAAAGCTGCAGTTCACTGGAGTCAGCAGTGTGCTCTTCCTTCTAGATGTGTTACATACACTGAGCCTTGTCTCTCAAAGGCAGTCATCTGCTCAGGAGTCCTTGCAACACAAATTCAGTGTTAAGGATACTGTACAGGCATGGGCACACTTACTGAACTTGGTCCCCCTCCCCAACACAGGTCATTCTAGTTCTGATTCCTGGCCTTAGGAGAGCAGCCATGGCCTGCAGAGCACTTGAGAACTGATAGAGAGGGCTGTGCACCTGCAATCACCTGATCACTCAAGCGGGCCAAGGCTAGACCCAGGCACTCCAAGGCTGATCCTGGATGTGCTTCTGGTTTTGCTTGGGACTTCCTCTGAGTAACAGACTCCCAGGATTGGCCCTTGTTATCAGGCTTTCAAGAACCATCCTGAACTCCAGTGGTCTGGGGTAGATGACGCAAACCCCTCAGGGACTGCATGATCTGTGTAGGCCCAAATTAGCCCTCCCTTTGGGGGGAACACGGAAGCACTGATTCAGCTTTTACTGGGGCAGATCCCTCCCTTCCTGCAGCCTCTTCATTCATACACTGGTTTCCTCGTGTGCAAGTCTTCAACAAGGAAGTAAGGCAATCATTACAGTGCACATTTACTAAGTACAGATCCCGTGCCAAGTATGCTAAGCCCTTTACATGACCGTATTTAGTGATCTCTATGATATAGTTAGCATCATTATTCCCACTTTACAGCTGAGGAGACTGAAGTTCAAAGACATGTAATTAGGGACAGAGTCTGTACTAAAACTTGGGCCTGTCAGACCCCACATCTGTCCCTGCAACCAGAATGCTAGGGAAACAAGCTCTTCCTTTAGATTAGTTTGCAGATGGAAAACATTAAACTACAGGCCCAGCAGAAGCTTTCAGGACAAGCCTCTGTGTCCTTCTGTGCCACCTGCAGCCTCCACCCGACCAGAGCACTTATGTGGCATTTGCCCTCTTCCATGGCCTCTATCAGCTGACACTAGACACCACGCAGACCTGCCAAGCTGAAGCAAAAACCAACCAAACTCGGTATTTGGAATACCAAGTCAGCCTGCCTTCTGGGAGAAGATTTAGACCAGCACTTAAGGTTATACAACTCAAACCAGAGGTTTATACAACTCAAACCAGCACCATCTTAGCAAGGTTTTGAAATGATAGGGTGCGCAGGAAACACACATTTTCTCCTCTCCTCTTTTCTTTTTAAGATTTTATTTATTTATTTGAGAGAGAGAGAGAATGAGTGGTGGGGAGGGACAAAAGGAGAGAGAGAGAGAAGCAGACACCCTGCTGAGCAGGAAGCCCATGTGGGGCTGGATCCCAGGACACGGAGACCACGACCTGACGGGAAGGCAGATGCTCAACCCACTGACCACCCAGACGCCCCTCCTCTTTTCTCTTATCTCTCTCTTCTTTTTTTTGAGAGAGAGAGTGCATGTGCACACTCCAAAGTGGGCATGAGGAGGGGTGGGGAGAGGGAAAGAGAGAATATTAAGCAGGCTCCACGCCCAGTGCAGAACCCCTTGTGGGGCTCTGTCTCATGTCCCTGAGATCATAACCTGAGCTGAAATCAAGAGTCGGACGCTAAACTGACTGAGCCACCCAGGCGTCCCTCTTTTTTTTTTTTTAAGTTTTATTTTATTTAAGTAATCTCTACACCTAACATGGGGCTTCAACTCATGACCCCGAGATCAAGAGTCACATGCTCTTCCACCTGAGCCAGCCAGGTGCCTCTCTTCTCTTTTTAAACGTTAGAAGAGAAGGTACCATGAACCTCTTCCCCTTCCCCTCAAGTTGCCATAAAACTGAGACTTCTTTCTCCCTTAAAGCTCAAAGCAAACTGATGGAGCCTACCCCACAGAAATCAAGTACAGAAGGTGGTGGGTTTCTTCTTACCATTCTGATTTAGCTCTGCATATGAACCTGAAATGAGTCAAGGAAATGGAGGCAGAGAATGAGCACATTTGGGAACCTCCTACTTTAAATCTGCAAATTCCTCTCTCGGTGAATTTTGGGTCATTTTTCTTCTTTTTAATTTTACTTTATAATTTTTATATTAAGTACATAATAATTATAAACGGACTATAAATTTAAAGATCTACTGAGCATCAATAACAAATTTAAACACTCCAAATTCAAATAGACTTTATAATAGCAAAATCCAATGGAAATATAATGTGAGCCACAAGTGTAATTTTAACATTTCTGGTGGCCACAGTAAAAGAAACAGGTGAAATTAATTTTAATAATATACTTATTGTATCCAAACCCTGAAATATTATCATTTTAATACATAATCAACATTTTAGAATGATTAATGAGATATTTTGTTCATTTGTAAACTTGTTTGTATAGGGTATATTTAAATATGGACCAGCTGCATTCCAAGTGCTCACTAGCCACATGTAGCAAGTGGCTACCATGCTAGTCAGCGAAAATGCTGCACATTTCACCTGTGAGGGCAAACTCCAAAGAAAAGGGGGGAAAGCCAGCCTGGTGGCAAACCCAGAGATGTTCAGTGACCTATTATGATGCTTTCTTTTTTTTTTTTTTAGATTTTATTTATTTTTGACAGAGAGAGTGTACAAGCAGGGGAAGCAGCAGCCAGAGGGAGAGGGAGAAGCAGGCTTCCCGCAGAGCAGGGAGCCCGATGCGGGGCTCGATTCCAGCACCCAGGGATCACGACCTGAGCTGAAGGCAGACGCTTAACTGTCTGAGCCACCCAGGTGGCCCTGTTATGACGCTTTGTTATTCCTTCTTGCTACATTAGACTCTTACCTCTAAACCAAAATGAGGAAAGTATATCATATTTTTAGTCATTCCTGGAAAAAAAAAAAGCCAGGCCCAAGGGGTCCTGAGGCCCTAGAGAAAAAAAGTTTGTGGGCGCCTGGGTGGCTCAGTTGGTTAAGCGACTGCCTTTGGCTCAGGTCATGATCCCAGGGTCCTGGGATCGAGTCCCACATCGGGCTCCCTGCTCGGCGGGAGGCCTGCTTCTCCCTCTCCCACTCCCCCTGCTTGTGTTCCTGCTCTCGCTGTCTGTCAAATAAATAAATAAAATCTTTAAAAAAAAAAAAAAAAAGAAAGAAAGAAAAAAAGTTTGCTCCCACTTACCCCCTGCTGCTTTGGATGGAAATCAGGTTTAAATGAAGGTCAAGGCCTACTCTGCACAAAGGAACAGAGTATCAAAGGAATGTGTTTGGGGGAGGGGAAAGAGGCCTTACTGACCATGACTAGAAGGGTGGGGATGGGGAATGGGGCTTAAGGATGATTTATAAAACTGAGCTTCAAAAGAGACCCCTTTCTCTGTATGCTCATCCCTATGCCAGCCTCTCTGGTCACCCATCAGGTGACAACTTGCACTGAGAGCAAAGGAGGAGGGTAGAAATCCTAGGATAGAGGCAGGGGTGGAGCCCGAATTGGCCATAACCGAAGAACAGATCTAATTCTATAGCATGTGCCATGAAGAGGTTTTCTTATCTACCCTGGAAAACACAGAGATCTTTTACTGAACACGTTCATCAAAATCGTGCCAAAGCTTTTGCGATATCAGGATTTTACAGATGTATTTAGAATAGAAAAGCATGTCCTCCTACTTTTCAAGAAACATGAAAGCACTAAATTAACAGCCCCCAAATTGCTGGTTCTTCTGAAATCTCTAATTTAACTCCAGAGACAAATAGCGTAAGGCAGTCCTAATCCAATATTAAGTGTGTATATATGAGAAAAGTCAGAAAATACACGAGAATGTTCTCATGGGAATATTAGCTTATTCACATTGGAAGTGACAGAACGATATATTAAAATCAGGTAATCACTCCTAACTGGCAAAAAAACTGTCCTCACCTTCTAGATAAAAATAGCCAAAAGAACAATATAAACTCCATTCTAGGACATAATCAACGCCCATGGCCAATTAACAACTTTTATTGGCAAAAAACATGCTGTAATCTGTTTTCTTTGATATCCTTTGTTCGGTTCTATGACCCGTATGGAATTTGTTATGTGAGTGGTGGGTGGTGAGCTCTAAACTGATTCTTTGTTCCAAACTGCTATCCAATAGGCAGAGAAAAGCAGGTGATGCTGCATATAATGACAAAAAGACCAGCACCTCCAGATGAGCCAGTACTAAACTGAGGCAATCCTCATCTTTCAAACATAATGAGTTCTTTAAAAGTTTGTATAAAAATTACATTGTAATAAAAATGTACTGCTAAAAGTATAATAATGTGAGTGTAGGTTCTATATCCAGAGAACTAAAAGATATAATAAAATCTCTAATTATGATATAATTATTCATAGCTTGGGTTTTTTAAATCTCAAAATTAGTCTGCACCGCACATGTGCTTTTATTTTTAATGTTTTTAAAGATTTATTTATTTGAGAGAGGGAGAGAGAGAGAGTGCGCACGCATGAGTGGAAGGGAGGCACAGAGGGAGAGGGAGAGAATCTCAAGCAGACTCCCCGCTGAGCCTGAGGCACTAAATCCCACAAACCCTGAGATCATGACCTGAGCCAAAATCAAGAGTCCGAAGCTTAACCAGTGGGGCCACACGCCAGGCACCCCTGTACATGTGCTTTTAAAGATTAACCATTAAGGAGCGCCTGGCTGGCTCAGTCAGTAGAGCATGCAACTCTTGGTCTCAGGGTTGTGAGTTCCAGCCCCACGCTGGGTGTAGAGATTACTTAAAAATAAAAATCTTGGGCGCCTGGGTGGCTCAGTTGGTTAAGCGACTGCCTTCGGCTCAGGTCATGATCCTGGAGTCCCTGGATCGAGTCCCGCATCGGGCTCCCTGCTCGGCAGGGAGTCTGCTTCTCCCTCTGACCCTCCCCCTCTCATGTACTCACTCTCTCTCATTCTCTCTCTCTCAAATAAATAAATAAAATCTTTAAAAAATAATAAAAAATAAAAATAAAAATCTTTAAAAATTAAACATTAGGGGCACCTGGGTGGCTCAGTCGTTAAGCATCTGCCTTCGGCTCAGGTCATGGTCCCAGGGTCCTGGGATCAAGCCCCACATCGGGCTCCCTGCTCAGCAAGGAGCCTGCTTCTCCCTCTCCCACTCCCCCTGCTTGTGTTCCTTCTCTCGCTGTGTCTCTGTCAATAAATAAATAAAATCTTAAAAAAAAAAATTAAACATTAAATATTGCCAATATAATTATTTTTTAAGAGTAGGTATTTTTGTTTTGTGTTTGTTTTTCTTAGAGTAGTTTTTTTTTAAATAAAGATTTTATTTATTTATTTGAGAGAGAGAGTGTGAGAGAGAGAGAGAGAGCATGAGCAGTGGGGAGGGGAAAATGGAGAGGGAGAAGCAGGCTCCCCATTGAGCGGGGAACTCAAAACTGGACTCGATCCCAGGACCCCAGGATCATGACCCGACAGAGCCACCCAGGGGCCCTAGAGTAGGTTTTTTTTTAACCTTGTTGTGGACCGAATGTTTGTGTCCCCCTAGTCCCATCCCAAATTCATATGTTGAAGCCTTAACAACCACTATGATGATAAAACATTTGCAGGTGGGGGTAATTAGGTTCAGATGAGGTCATGAGTGTGGAGCCCCCATGATGGAATTAGGGTCCTTTAAAGAACAGAAAGAGAGAGACTAGGACTTTCTCTTTCCATCATGGAGGGACCCAGTGAGAAGGCAGCTGTCTGCAAGCCAGGAAGAGGGCCCTCACCAAAACTCACAATGCCGGCCTCTTGATCTTAGACTTCTAGGCTTCAGAACTATGAGAAAATAAATTCTGCTGTTTAAGCCATTCAGTCTGTGGTAGTTTGTTATGGCAGCCCAAGCTGACTAATACAAACCTCAAATTCTAGCTTTCTCAATTTGAAGTGACACTTAGAAGACAGAAGAAATTAGAGTAATGTTAAGTTGAGAAAAAGTAATTTTTTTAAGGGGGGGCAAGGGCAGAGAGAGAGGGAGAGAGAATCCCAAGCAGGCTCCATGCCCAGCATGGAGCCCGACTTGGAGCTCGATCTCATGACCCTGAGATCATGACCTGAGCCGAAATCAAGGTCAGGACACTTAAATGACTGAGCCACCGAGGCACCCCTGAGAAAAAGTAATTTTAAAGTGACTGAATAGGAAACTGTGAAGCTGATGATGAACTTATATGACTACTGAATAGCATCAGAAACAAGGTAGAAGTGTTCAAATAAAGATTTTTAACACTTTCATAATGTGTAAAAACATAAACATCAAAGGAAAGCAACAAACTAGAAAAACAAATAGCCAAGCCTTGCTATATGAAACATAAATTATACAAATACCCACTTTCTGGTTGATAAATGGTTAAAACTAGATGAGGCAGTAATTAATTTTAATAATAATATTAATATAACAGGCAATAAATTATTTTATACAGAAAAAGAGCACAGACCCCCACAGTCATGAAAGATATTGAAAGTCAAATGAAATAGCTTTAAGCTTTTTTTTTTTTTTTTTTTTTACAACTTTAAGCTATCAAAAATATTTAACTAATAGAGCTAGGTATGCTTATCGCTGATGGTGATACAAAATGTTCTAGCCTCTCTGGAGAACAATCTGGCAATATGTAACAAGAGCTAGGGAACTGCTGATGCCTTCTAGGTAAATACATTCTGGGTAATTAGCCATAAGTAAATAGCTCAAATAGACAAAAGTAATTTCAATAATGATATAATGCAGAAATAGCATAAAGCAGAAAACCTGAAATCACATAAGCGTGCACAGAAGGAATGGTGAGGCAAACTGGTATATCACATAGTAGAATAACTATAGTTGCTATTCAAAGTGGTAGATGAGGGCGCCTGGGTGGCTCAGTTGGTTAAGCAACTGCCTTCGGCTCAGGTCATGATCCTGGAGTCCCGGGATCGAGTCCCGCATCGGGCTCCCTGCTCGGCAGGGAGCCTGCTTCTCCCTCTGACCCTCCTCCCTCTCATGCTCTCTCTCATTCTCTCTGTCTCAAATAAATAAATAAAATCTTAAAAAAAAAAAGTGGTAGATGAGATTCTGTAAGCATAATAACAGAATAAGGTACACAGAAAATGTAGAACATAAACAGAGCATATGGAAATATCTGTATTTTGAAAATGTGGGGAATGTGGAGAGAAACCATGAATTCTGTTCTTTTTCTATGAAGTTAAAAATAAGAGCTCTGGCCACAGCTTTGGTGTGGCTCTTGAGCCTGTTGTAAAACCACTCTGAGAAGGAGATTGGGGGGGGGGGCGTGATTTAAGGATCAGAGCTTTCCCTCAATGTCTCCAAACCCTCCTGTGATACGACACATTATTTTTTTTAAAGATTTTAAAGTAATCTCTACACCCAATGTGGGGCTCAAACTCACAACCCAGAGATCAAGAGGTGCATGCTGTACTGACTGAGCCAGCCAGGTGCCCCACAAGACACTTAAAACTTAATTACAGTAATATATAAACTATCATTCTAGGGCAAGGATTATCTCCACACAAACGTCATCTTTTCACCCCCACCTTACTAGCTTGTACCCACAGCTCTTGTTGCTGCACAATGAGCAGCAGAAGGGCAGGGGACACACCCAACGCCCCCTTTGACACTGGCCCATCACCAGGCCTCCTGCCCTAGGCAGCCGTGGGGCCCTGGCCCTGGAAGCAGGAAGCCTTCCCGGTTGAGAGCAAGATTCCACTGAGCCAGTATATCCTGAGGGGAAAGTCTTTTAAACTTAAGCAGTGTAGATTCTGAGATTCTTCCCATACTCGGCTTTCTCAAACAAGACACCACATGTGTTTGGGGCAGAGTCTCACCTGAGCCCAATTATTCTCTACAACCAAAATGGAAACTTTCACAAGGGCACCAAAAGTCAAATTTAAGGGTCTTCTGGATATGAATACATAAACAAGTGAAGATCTCATGAAACTGTGAAGTGTGCACTTACTTTCCGCAGCACATGTGATGCTTATCAGGCATGGCCAAGCCCAGGACGAGGATGCAGTACTTCTGGGCCAAGTATTTCTGCGCCGCTTCTAACTTACTTATAACCAATTCCATCTCTTTCTTCTCTACAAGGCCCCTGAAAAGAAAATGATCATTTGGGTTCATTTGGGCAAATGCCAATACTAATTAGCAAAAAGTCAGAAGTGTAAACTATTTTGAAAGAAATACGAGTGAGTCAACACATCTCACTTATCTTTCTTTTATTCAATTTGAGCTATGGCAAAGGGAGGGCCTCCAAGCCCTTTGATAGTTATCATTGTAATCAGCATCTTGAGTTTACGGTGAATTTTCACTTTTTTATAGATTCTTTGTAGTATGTGTCCTTAATTTTACATATAGGCTGTCCTAATTTATATAGGACAGCTCAACTGACAAATTACCTACACTGGTTTCTGAGGCAGCTAGCAGCCCATTTCCCTGCTGTTTTATTAAAAGAGCCATGGAGACCCTCTCCCTTCAGCTTCCCCTGGGTTCCTGATGTTACTACTAAGTTTGAAGGCTCAATGTTCGACCTCCTCAGTGCTTCCCTACTCCCAGTTCTGTGTTTGCTGAGGAAGCATGTGTGGACCACTCCTCTGGGAACTTTGGCATCAATTATAATAACCTTGCTTCCTGGCGAAAACACTGCCCCAGTTCCGAATAAATTGCAAATGAACTTTCCAAAAGACAACCTGTTCATAGGTTACAGCGTGTCTGGAGCCAAATTTTAGAGTTTTTGCAGTACAGTATAGTAGGAAACAATATTGCTAACAATACATTCCAGTGACTGCTATTGAAAAGTGAAGTGTCAGGTGCCTGGGTGGCTCAGTTGGTTAAGTGACTGCCTTCGGCTCATGTCATGATCCTGGAGTCCTGGGATCGAGTCCCGCATCGGGCTCCCTGCTCGGCAGGGAGTCTGCTTCTCCCTCTGACCCTCCTCCCTCTCATGCTCTCTGTCTCTCATTCTCTCTGTCTCAAATAAATAAATAAATAAATCTTTAAAAAAAAAAAAAGTGAAGTGTCATTGGCTTTTTATCTGCCTTTTAATTTTCAGAAAGATTTAAACCCCATGAAATGCACTTTAAACAACAGGGACAAATTACTGCCCCTTCTGATGTTAACCACTAGACTGACCACACGAGGATATGCTGTGGAGGAGGGGGCTTAAGGATAATAGAGATATTTCAAAGCACAAAATGTTATTACCACATGCAGTGAGAAGGCTTGTGAGTCACTGGAATAAAATAAGTTTCTGGAATAGATAAAGTGAGTTCCAACTTTAAAAGCCCAAATTTCATATAACCCAAATATCTGCATCCATCTGCACCCCAAACCCCATCACTATGCCTGTCTCCCTGTTTCCTTCAGCAACCTCCACCCTCTCTTATTCCTCATCCCTGTGTTGCCAGAGCTGCCAGTAGTCAATACGTCTCTTCTGCTGTTGAAAACAAAACAAGGAAAAAATGCCTTGAAACTTTTAGGCCACTGGCTCCTAAGTTTAAATATATGTTAAGAATTGCCTGGGATACTTGCTAAAAGTGCAGATTCCTAGTGCCACCCCCTCTCCAAGATCTTGATTCAGTAGGTCTGCGTAGAGCCTGGCATTTAAAACAAGTATAATCCTTTGGGGAAAACTTGATAATAATTTCAAGTGCCATACAACTGACCATAAACTTGGGTCCAATAATCTCTCCTGGAAATTTATCCTTCTTAAAATAAATTATCCAAAATTAAGGGGGAAATCTAATGCATGAAGATATTCAATAATATTCAGTTATTACCTACTTGTCTATCAGGAAAACTGGCAACTCCCAAAAATATATAAAATGGAGGGGAAAAAGGAGTAGTAATGCAGGCTGTAGTAATACAGCCAAATACTGTTTAAGGACTTGACATTTATTAACTTAACGTTTGAGTCCCTATAGGATTTATTCCAGCACCAAAGTCCACACCCTTAAGCACAGTACATACTATACTGCCTCTTAATAGGTAAGTCAATTAGTCCATTAACACACATTAGCCTGACGGAAAGTTACACCACCATTAAAAATTATAATTGTGAAGATGTAATAACTTGAAAAATACTTATGTTTTAAAAACTGCATACTTTTGCCTTTGTACAGAAGCTACAAATCCTAATTACAAATGGATAAACTCTGTATAAGAGGGCTCAGCTGACAGGGACCAGGTGGCGAACACGCTGCACAGAGGCTGCGAGGCTGGGGAGTTAGATGGATCTGGGCTCCCATCTCAGCTCCACCACTAACTAGACAAGTCTCTGGTCAGCTCCTTAACCTCTCTGAGCCTTAGCTTCTTCTTCTGTAAAATCGGGATAAGGCTTCTTCTTCCGGAATTAGGGCTTTTAATCATCTAAAACCACCACCGTGTACCTCTGTACCCCTTCCAGCTCTCCTCTCACAAGTTGTAGGCTTTCCTCCGAAGCGGCAACCTCTGCATTAAGATAATATGGATTATCTCATCTAATCTGGATGATAACTCTGTAAAGTAGATACTACTATTATCCCTGTTCTACCTCACTAGTTTGACTGAAATCAATTTTTTTCTTAAAGTTATTTAAGTCCAGATATCTCAATATAACCTATATTTATTTCTATTAATAAGTACACTAATTGACCACTGGAACCCTGAAAGTGAAACGTTAGTCTTATTATTTTAGAATCACACCAGAGGGGACGCCTGGGTGGCTCAGCCATTAAGCATCTGCCTTCGGCTCAGGTCATAATCCCAAGGTCCTGGGATCGAGTCCTACATTGGGCTCCTTGCTCAGCAGGAGGCCTGCTTCTCCCTCTCCAACTCCCCCTGCTTGTATTCCCTCTCTTGCTGTCTCTCTCTCTGTCAAATAAATAAATAAAATCTTTAAAAAAAAAATCACACCATAGAACCAATCATTTTAAGACTTGGATTTTTCTGTCATTCCGTAACTGATTTCCTTCTAAGAAAGTCCACCTTATACCACTGTGCTCTAATAGGTGTTAGTGTATTTCAAAAACAACTAAGAAACCTTTTTCTCTGTTATCTATTCCTCTAAATTAAGAAATGAAACAAATGTCTCTGCTAGATTAGCAGTAACCCTCAGAATTAGAAAACACCACATAAAATACAAGCTCATGTGCTGCCACCAAAGTCTAATCAGTTCTTTCTGGGGGATGATTAGACTCCTCAAACCTTCAGAGCCTCCAGCTGGCTGAGCCCTTGTGCTTGCCAGCACGGAGGCACTTCAGGATCTCAGGCTGCCCTGCCGTGAACGCAGCGCCGACGTACACAGATGCGGTATACCGTGATGGCTTCACTGGAGTAGCAACGTCTGAACTATTTATCCAGTGCTTTACGAAACTGCTGTCCAGATACGTTTATCTATCCATAAAATGTTTTTCAAACTGCTTGGTTGTACACAAGGATTCTGCATTTTAAAAACATTCCAAAGCAACAAATTGATGACTCTGACAGCATTTCTAACAGCTGAATCATTGGATCGGTTCCACACGTACCGGGGAGGGCAGCCTGGGCACTTGGAAAGTTCCATGGCTTGCCAAAGGTCACCAAGCCTGAGAGGCATTGTTCTGCTCTGGACTCTGAGTTCCCAGATTCTTGCCCTGTACAGCTCTGAGCCACCTCTGCCTAAGGCAGTTAAATTCTTCCTATGTAGCCTAAGAAATCTTATTTTCTTCTGTGATATGGAATATCATTTTGGTCATATCTATTAATTTTAATTCTTCATTTTTTTCATTAGATGCTTACAAAAGCCCTAGCAAGAATTTCATAAGCATAAAAAGCATAGAACCAATATCTGTATCTGCACTGTCCAATATGGTAACCATGAAGCCACAGGTGGCTACTGAGTGGTTAGTATGAATTGAGGTATATTGTTAAGTGTAATATAGATATCAGATTTCAAAGACTTACTACAAAAAAAAAAGTAAAGTATGTCATCAGTAACTTTCTAATACTGACTACATGTTGCAGTAACATTTTTGAGTCATTGCATTAAAACACATTATTAAAATTAATTTCACTTTTCTTTTACATTTTTTTAAATATAGCTACTGAAAAATTTTAAGTTACATATGTGGCTCTCATTATATTTCTATTGGGCAGTGCTGGTCTATATTATCTGGAATATTTTGTTGCTAGAAAAACCATTTGAATTATTCAGTGAGCTTTAAAAACTGATGAACTCCTCCCATGTAAAATGTTTGTTTTCGTATACTCCAAAAATTTAAAAATTTCCATCATCTCTTTACCTTAGTTTTCATACTGGCAATAATAAAACTTTAAAGTGCACTACAAAATTCTACTTACACCATATAGCTTTGGGGTTTCTTTTCCAGTGAGTTTTTTTCCAAGTAATGAGATAAATAGTACAACAATGCCATGAGGAAATTGTCAAGATTTTTATTCCTAAGGGAAGAATTAAAAAAAAAAAAAGAAGAAGAAAGAAATGAATGCTAATATATTTATTTTTTCTTCAAATTTTTATTTAAATTCTAGTGAGTTAACATATAGTATAAACATATTTCAAACATAAAACTTTTTATAAGAATATGTGGGCACATGACATAAAAATAAGTAGAAATACACGTTATCATGCCTATCACACAACTAATTTACCATTTAAAATTCTATCTACTATACTATTGAAGATGTAAGAAATCTGACTTTTGTAACCAAACTTTTTAGGGGGTCACATACTAAATTACAGTTTTGTTTATCAATTAGTTTTAATTTTTAAGAAGTTCTCATTATACAAATAATATTTTCCACTGTTTAAAAAATGTACACAAATGTGTAAAGTAAAAAGTCCTCTCACTTCTTTGCTACCATCCTACTTCCAAGCGACAGCCACTGCTAAGAGTGGAATGAATCCTTCCTAAACTTTTCAAAGCATAGACAATTACATATAAGGTCCTCCCCCACCAACGCACATACATATGCATGAATATATGCCTTAAAATTTTCTTTGGTAACAAAGAAGATAATGCTATATATATACAAGTCTTTGCAACTTGCTTTTTTCACTTAACTGCTTAGCATGGACCTCTTTGCATGATACTATGTATCAATTTTCCTCATTCTTTTAAAAGCTGGATAAAGTTTTCTATAGCTCGTATTTTATTTAACTAGTCCTCTATTGATGGATATGTAGTTCTTTTAAAAATACTATTGACATTGCTGCAGTAATTATCCTTGTGGCCACGTCTCTGAGTAACTTCCTAGGAGTGAAATTGCTAGGGCATGGTGTACAGCATATTAAAGTTTCACAGTTTTGCTCTCGGAAAAGGTTGCATTGATTCACAATCCCATCTCATTTCTTTTAAAACTAGGAGCCTTCTTAGAAAGTCTTCTATCTAAGTATTCTTACAAGATTTTTGCTGCTTCCTTTCTAGCAAATGCAAATTCTTACTGGCATTCTTTCTTCAACTATACCTTGACAACCGGATGAAGATGAGCATTGCAGATTTTTTTTTCACAACGTTAGTAACTACCTGTCCTGGGCTGGGTTCTCTCAGAAACAGACTCTGAGACAAAGATGTGAGAGTCAGTAGTTTACTTAGGAAGTGCTCACAGGAAACTTGAGTAGCGGGTTGGGGAAGCAAGACAGGAAGGGGAAGAAAGCCCACACAGCGGGTGTTAACAAGTTCATTATCCCTGTGGATAAATGCAGTTCAGTCCTGTGGGGGGCTCTGGGAGACAGTGCAGAAAACTTCTGAGTTATCCTGACAGAAGGACGCTGGGATATCTTTGTACCAACTCTCCACCTAGCACAACTCTGGCTGAAGGCTGCTTCTGGGACACTGACAGTGCTCCCAGCTTGCCCTATGGTCAGGCTGAGTGTGCCCCTGCTGTGGACTAAAGCTTCAGGTGCTTGCCACAAGCAGCCTTCGCTGAATGCTGAGGGAATGTGGGAGGGCTGCCAATCTTGGGTACCCAGTTCTCACTGAACACCGACCCTCAGCCAGACCGAGACACAATTACTTCCGACTTTGTATGTGAGGAAACAGGCTTAGAAAGGTCAAGAAGCTCACCCAGAGTCATACACCTAGTACTTGTGGGGGCTCCAAACATGGAGAAAACTGATCTTCAGTGAGTGAGGCTACCCTCTAACCATTATGCAAATATAATGCAGTCTTTATGGGACTTTGACAACGTGCTCTCCATACTTCTTGCCCTGGGACTTTCTTTTCGGCTCCTGTGACTTCTGGCTTCCTGTCTTTGGTCTCAGTCTTGGGGACTGAGTCCTGAGGGGATGGCTTGCATAAAGCCAGTCCCATGTCCTTTCTCCAAAAACCAGATTTGTCATCATTTGTCAGTTAAAATTGCTTCACATTAAGGATAAAAGGTCTAAAATGTCTCATGAGCATTACATACCTCATAAATGTTGTAAAAGAACAGATCCGCTGCATCTCGGTATCTTGTAGCAAAAACAAAGCAACAACTGAAAGGAGAGAAGATGGACAATTGAGAGAGGGACAAAGGGCTGTGTCAGAGATTCACTCCAGATAGGATATGTGAAGATGATGAAACAGTTACTCACATTTAGCATCATGTAGTGTCACGTTGCCCTGCTGACCTCGCTTCTCTAAGGCTTTAGGTGACTTATCGCCTCTTGAAGCAAACTTTTTATCTGTCAACCTATTTTAGAATAGAACAGTCTCTAGTGGTGGTTTGAAAGGTTTCAGTTGTATTTAACTGATCCTGAGGTACATGAGACTTTTACTATAAAGTAAGGAGAGCATGAGTGTCAAAACCCAAAAAAGGGTTTTGTTTAATGGAGGAGAATTCTGGAATGCATTTTATTAAACATTATATTTACCAGGCTAGGGGTAGGAGAAAAGCCTGATATAAAACGTAAATACCAATTCCATCCAAAACAGATCATTTAAATCACCAATTAATCATCTATTTAGATAATCCATTCATGGTGTAGCTACCATTTTCAGATTTTTTAAAAAAGTATAAAACATTGCAAATTTGCTATGAGCCAAATTATCACAGGGATACATCTGCAGGGACTATTGTAACACCTCCCATAATTGAGAAACAGTGCATGTTCTTTCCTTAAAAGGTATCTGCATATCAACCTCAGATAATGGAAATGATATTTTCTAGAATTTGTGGGGGTGCCTGGGTGGCTCAGTCGTTAAGCGTCTGCCTTCGGCTCAGGTCATGATCCCAGGGTCCTGGGATCGAGCCCCGCATCGGGCTCCCTGCTCCGCGGGAAGCCTGCTTCTCCCTCTCCCACTCCCCTTGCTTGTGTTCCCTCTCTTGCTGTGTCTCTCTCTGTCAAATAAATAAATAAAATCTTAAAAAAAAAAGAATTTGTGACAACTTGAGCCGTTCTGCTGAGAGCGGTCAGCAGCACTGCCACAGTTGGGAAGTGAAGGTACCTGTCTGAAGCGGGACCGTCAGTTTCAGCAAAGTGTATTGCTTTGCCTTTCTTTCCTTTCTCCTTCAGTTCTATTGCAGGTGTAAAACTGTAATAGAAAGGAGAAAATTAGGACCCTAACCTCTCCCCGGGGAGGGGGGGAAGACTGATCCTATCAGGACAGTAGCTCATGGCATCTTAGGACTTGCAGATGTTATGAGTGGTGCCTGAGGGGAATCTGAGGTACCAAGGTACTCGAGTCACATTATTTACATATGGAACAACCATCTAGAAAGAGATGAACGTTTCAGGCTTTACGTTCAGCCTCTACATATCCGCGGTCTCCAGAACACCACCATACACAAAACATTTCCATCTGAAAATGTCATAGTAGCTTCACAAGAAACAGAAAGCTCATGAGAGGTCTGGAGAGATGTTTTTATTTACTGAGCGCTTGTTATGCACCAAGTGCTTTTAGGCACAATCTTGTTCAATCACAGTGCCTCTACGAGGAAAATATTACTAGTATGGCCATTTTTACACACGGAAAAACCGAAGCTTAGAAAGAGATAAGTAACGTGACCAAGATCACTGAGCCTGTGTCGGAGCCAGGATTGGGGTCCAGGATCTCTCAATGCAGAGCCATGCGCGTACCCACCAGGCAGTCCTGCCTCCTGAGCTGCCATCTTCGTTGTCGCTGCGCTGAACTCTTGACTATCTCACGGAAGGTTTCAGGACCCTTTCTTTAACTCAGGGTTTCTTAAATCCTAAGGTCATACAAACATTTACTAAGCAGTAATGGGGCTAAGAAGGGACCATGACTAAGCAACAAACACACAGATATTGAGGCCATACACATTGTCACACATCGCTCTGACAGGAAAAGAAAATGGTGTCTGTTCGAGTCCACGCACAACCTCTCGGGAATATCAGCAAATGCTTAACAGAAAAGCCAAGAAAAACATTTTGAAGACCAGCAGAATGTGGTTCCTGCCTTTACAGAGAGTACATTTTCTGGGAAAACTGGGATGTCTACCAAATACATTGGTTTCGAAACCCACCGTGGATTATGATTTTCACTTTTTCTGTCTGAAACAATGCCACAGTGGTAACAAGACCCAGAAGCTTAATTTCTGCCCACAGTTTGATGTCTCTCTGCTAAGCTTAAGTGCAGGTGTAGTAATAGAAGCACATTCCCCCAGACTTTACTCACTTTCTAAAGACGGATATCAATCATGTCTACTCTCTTCATCTCCTTGCCAGCACAATAGTTTTGTGTATTTTAACAGGTTTTTTTTTTTGACACAACAGTTTTGAAACAACTTCCTTTGAAAATTTTCTTTGATTGATGCTACCCACAAAGTAATCATTTTAGAGAAATACTTTCCCATGGGAATAATAAAGTTAATCAGTTTGGTTCTTTCTTCCTCTAGTTTTTGCCAACCTCCTAGCAGTATTCAGGTTGTAGAATAAGTTAGCTCCTAAAAGCATGTACATCATGTCACTGCAAGGAAATGATCCTTTGCATTTTTCAACTCTTTTTTTTTTTTAAGGTCATTGGCACCACGTTGGTCAGTGGATGATTTCTAAGCTTTTCATTCTTTCTGATGCCTCCAAGGATTGGGTATTTAGTGGGGAGAGTATGCTCAAATACTGAGGGGGTGGGTGGGAAAAAAAAAGAAATGGAAGAATACCAAATGTTGATGACGGCTACTGCCAAAGAGAGACGGGGGATCAGATGGGGCAGAGAGGTGAAATGGTGATAAAGAGGTCTATCTTCCAATCTGTGTACTTCCATTTTGAGGTGTTTCTTTTTAATAATAAGAATATATTGATTTATTTCCTGCATCACTAAGAAAAAGTTGATAGAGACACATAGAAAGAAAACACTATATGGTTGATATGTTATATTGACAGACCATTTGGACAGCCTTTAACAAAATAATCAAATCTCCCAAACATCCAGATTTTTTTTTTTTTTTTAAAGTAGGCTCTACGCCCAGCATGGAGCCCAACGCAGGGCTCAAACTCACGACCCTTAGACCAAGACCGGAGCTGAGATCAAGAGTCAGATGCTTAACCGACTAAGCCCTCCAGGGGCCCCCCAGACATTTTCTAATGGCTCTCTGAAGCCATTTCTCCTTGCTAGATGCCTTGTGCAGATTCCTTCATATAACCATCCTAAAAAAGAACACAAAATTGTTTTCCCATTTCTCCTCGGATCATCACACTGTTTTGGCCACTTACGAGCCACTGGCTGTTAACTTTCCTACCCCAGGCTAAGGAAGTCACAGGTCACCAGCTCTCCCAGGATTTCTTTTCTCTTTCTCTAGAAGACAAGAGAAGATAGATACACCCAATCTTAGTGACTGCCAAATGAAATTGCTGTCTCCTATCCTCTTCTCAGTCCTATCCCTATCATTCAAAGTGTCTTGCCCTATTTGCCTGAGATGATGAGATGAGAGAGCCTTAAAATAAGACACTAAGTGCCTGTCTTTAGCCAATAGTCTGACATTTACTGCTAAGCTTCTAGTCCTTATTCTCTGACCTTCAGACATGCCTTCTCTACTTCCCGCTATTCTGAGCGGCTGTTCCCTTGAGTCAAGTCATTCTCTAGCTTGCCTGGTGAGGAGGATTTCTCCCTGTGAGTGCCCTGCTGTAGCTCTACAGGCGGACTATGCTCACAGTGCATTTGAAATCACTACAAAGCATCACTAGTAATAACTGAAAGCTATTTCAGTAATAACTGAAAGCTAGAATCGTACCTCTGATTGGCTCCCAAACCGCAGTCTGAGCTAGTTCCGTGCCCTCCTGCAGTCTCCATTTCCCCCTCCACCTGGCAACCCCTTTAGAATCTGGGCCTTTCTCAGACCACATTTTGTTACATTCCCAGTATTACAACATAATCATGTCGTTTCCCTTTGCCCTGAAATAAATGAGGAAAAGAATCATATTTTCCCCTAGGACCCATCCCTAAAATGCAGAGGGCTGGACCACCCTTGGCTTTCACACAAGTTAGAGCTCCTCAGTGGTTATTAGAGTCTTCTCTCAGGCCCCGAGGAAAGACAAGAGGAGTTTGGAGCTCCTGGAGGTTGAGTTTCCTCAGCTGTATATCCTCAGGGGAGTCAATGACCTTGGCAAAGACTCAGGCGGGCTGCTGACTCTCTCCCAGCTGTGAGGAGGGGCTCTTGAAACAAGAAAGAGTAGGACAGCTGACACTGTTAGAAGGAAGCCTGCCTCATGGGCCAACCCAGAGGTGGCCTGTGAAGAAAGGTATTCCCTCTTTAACAAATAAGAAATGGGCATGCATGCTGGTGAATTATGCAACACCCTCATTTACGCCTCACAAAGCATTATTATTCCATTTTATAGATGAGGGAACTGATCATCAGCGAAGCTAAGTAACTTGACAAATATAACCACCTAGTCAGTGAGAGACGTAGGATTTGAACCCTAGGTCTTTGAACTTTCAGGCCCCCCTTCAAAGTCTCTTCCTTAACTGCCTATTAAGAAATAATGACCGGATGGGGCGCCTGGGTGGCTCAGTTGTTAAGCGTCTGCCTTCGGCTCGGTCCTGATCCCAGGACCCTGGGATCGAGCCCCACATCGGGCTCCCTGTTCCGCGGGGAAGCCTGCTTCTCCCTCTCCCACTCCCCCTGCTGTGTTCCCTCTCTCGCTATGTCTCTCTCTGTCAAATAAATAAATAAAATCTTTAAAAAAAAAAGAAATAATGACCGGAGGGCCTGGGTGGCTCAGTTGTTAAGAGTCTGCCTTCGGGGCAGGTCCTGCTCCCAGGGTCCTGGGATAGGGGGCAGGTCCTGCTCCCAGGGTCCTGGGATAGAGGGCATCGGGCTCCCTGCTCCGCGGGAAGCCTGCTTCTCCCTCCCCCACTCCCCCACTCCCCCTGCTTGTGTTCCCTCTCTTGCTGTGTCTCTCTCTGTCAAATAAATAAATAAAACATTAAAAAAAAAAAGAAAAGAAAGAATGACCATCCTTTCCTGCCCATTAGTGTGTGTCCATTTCTTGTGTGGAGGTTATGGGTATCTTATATTCTGATACAATTATCCCTCTCAGGGTATAATCTGCAAATATAAGGCAAGATCTGCCTGTGACATAGGGAGCTAGCTAGGTCTTCTCTGAAGGGTAAGATTTCCATTGTCACTCATTCAGGAAAGAGGTGAAGACCTGAAAGGCTGGGAAGAGGAAAGGGATCATCTTCTCTGAACTCAAGAATACCTAGAAGTCTGTGCTAGTGGGTGTAAAAAGGTGGCCTACCCCATGTGAAAGAAGACTAAAACTCCAGAAGGGATTCCCAGGGTTTGAAATTGACGGGTTAAAAACCGAATGTCCCTGAGATCAAGCTGCTACTATGCAAAAGCAAATTATTTGGATTCATAACACTTCAAATTTTCTTCCCCACTGCTGGCTGTTCTTTCTTTAGTCTCCTTTTAAAGCTCCTTTTCCTTTTCCTGGACATGTTTCCTAAATGAGAGCCTTTCTCAGGGTTCCATCTCGTTCCTCTTCTCACTTCCTCTGAGTAATCTCATCTACTCCACTAACATCGATAACTGACAATTTTATAGTGAAGGTTCAGCTCTTTCTGCAGACTTATAAAATGATACATCTGCCTACTGGACACCTTCGCTTGGGCATCCTACAGACATCTCAAACTCAGTATGAGCTGAACTCATTCCCCTTTAACTTGTACTCCCTACTACTCCCCCATCTCAGCAAATGGGCACCACCACCCACCAGGTGGCCAAGCCGCAAAATGGTGTCATCCTTGGTTTCTCCATCACCTGTGGCCCTTGCAGCCCACTAACCACTTAATCCTTAAATACATCTCGAATTTGTCTACTTCCCTCTCTTCCCATTGCCACCTCCCTAATTTTAGCCACCATCATCTGTCAACAGAATGTCTGCAACTGCTTTTTTTTTTTTTTTAAGATTTTTATTTATTTATTCATGAGAGACAGAGACAGAGGGAGAAGCAGGCTCCCCAAGAAGCAGGGAGCCCAATTCGGGACTTGATCCCAGGACCCCGGGATCATGACCCGAGCCGAAGGCAGATGCTCAACCCTCTGAGCCACCCAGGTGCCTTGCAACTAC